TGACTAGATGCTTGTGTACAGGTTGCGACAATCATAATTTACAGTATCCGTGCTTCGAACGCAACAAATGTTCCTGGTTATTTGTGCCCAACAATCATACTTGATTGACCCCTGGTGTCTTCTCTCGCAATCCTATAATTACAATTCCCATTTTGTCCCAAAGGTGCTTTTTCAAGAGGAAATTGGACTTTCTGGGGTTTTTTTTAAAAGGCATTTCACTTCTCATCCTAGAAGCTTCTTTAGCTCTGACTGGACGATGGGAGATGGAAGGATTTATATTCCTTGCAGGCAGATCTGGTCATTTGCATCCTTTTAGAGGGTCCTTGAGGCCATTTGGAGGTTTATCTGTGTCTTCAGGGTCACCTGAGTGGTGCAAATGGATGTGGAACCTTCTTGGACCGGTTGAAAGGACCGTGTTGTAGACGGGAGATAGATGATGTCGCATCCCTCCTCCTCTNGGTTAACCTTTATTACATTATAACAGCTAAGGCGAAGCGCCCGTCAACGTGAGTGATGTTGAGTTGGCCATGCCCACCCAGTCACATGACCACAAAGCCCGACCTACCCTGCTGGTCATTAGGGCAGAGAACCGGTTGTTAAATTATTTGAATCCCACCACTGAGTTAGATATAAATATTATCTGGTCTCTCCATTTTAGGGGGCTTGGATGAGTCAAAAGACAAGGGCCAAGAAAGGGCAGCTGTCCTATTGTGGATTTTTAATATGGGTTTCTAAAATGGAATCCACATTCACTTTTTACTTTTCATTGAATTAGAGCTGTTACCCTTCAGGCTTGTGGGTTTGTCTTTCTTCTTGGCATACTATTAATAATAGAATTGACTGGGTCAGCATTCTAACAGCTGCAATAAGTACAGGTAGTCCTCGACTTACGACAACAGTTCATTTAGTGGCCATTTAAAGTTACGACGATACTGGAAAGAAAGTCACTTACAGCCGATTTTCACAGCTTCCATTGCAACTTCCCCCGGGTCATGCGATCAAAATTCAGGTGCTTGGCATCTCGTATTTAGGACGGTCGCAGTGTTCCAGAGTCAACGCGATCTCTTTTTTGCAATCTTCTTCTGACAAGCCACTTCACAGCTGCGTTTTGATGACCTACTCACTTAGCAAACGCAATCATTCACTCGGTATCTGCGGCAAGAAAAGCCGTAAAACGGGACAATCTCGCTCAGCAAACGTTTCCCTTAGCCCAGCGTTTCTCAACCTTGCCGACTTTAAGTCCTGTGGACTTCAACTCCCAGACTACGCTGGCTGGGGGATTCTGGGAGTTGAAGTCCACAGGACTTAAAAGTCACCAAGGTTGAGAAACACTGCCTTAGCCGCATAAATTTCCGTCTGGGTTCTGGCCGTAACTTCAAGGACTTACCTGTAACCGTGAAAGGTTAAATGGATAACCAGCGACCAGTTTTCCTCGTTAGTTCATCAGGAAAACCTTCTCGTGACCCTTCTGGATGAATATTCCCACTTGCCTTCCGGCTGCCAATGTTTGAAGTCCTGTGCTAATTCATCAAAGGAGTTAAAGGCTCCTTACATTTGGCTAACGACGTTTTGATGACCTATTTGGATTTAATATATATTACTGCAATGTGCAGATAAAATCCCCCAAAAAATGAATTGTGAAGTTTAACTGTTCTGAAGCCAAATAACCAAACAATGATTTCCCCCGTCTGGAGAATGGAAGATTTAACTGGATCCATGCATGGTTTATTGGCAACAGCATATAGTCATTTACCATTCCTTCCCCCACCCCCCTTTCTGGAATTTTTCTTTTTATTTCTAAATCTAGGCTACCGCCTTGGGATATCTTTATGGTCTTCCATCTAAGTCTTAATAAGGCCTGACAGGATCAAGGAAGTCCTGGCAGCTGCAGAGATATGACCTAATATTAAGCTTCAACTGCTTGTACAGGTCCACTTCCAACTTCCAATTCACTTAGAGACCGTTCAAAGTTAGAAGAAAGCGACTTCGGATCCACACTTACGACCGCCGCAGCATCCCCATCGTCACGTGATCAAAATCCAGATACTTGGCAACTGATTTCATATTTACGGCGGCTGTAGTGTCCTGGACTCATGCCATCACCTGTTTTGTGACCAGCAAAGCCAATGGGAAAGACTGATTCACTCAACAACCATGTTACAAACTTAACAGCTGCGGTGATTCACATAACGGCGGCAAGAACTGTCGTGAAGGAGTTGCAAAATTCACTTCACAACCGTCTGGCTCGGGAACAGAAATGTTGGGCTTAACTGTCGTCGTACGTTGAGGACTAATTGTATATCGATTATTGGTGTGTCTAGTAGTCCTACCTCTCCTGTTAATTCTAAATTCGCTTTCTCACGTATTGTAAGATAATGACAACCCACACACCAAGTCAGGCTGATGTGTCAGGCTCCCAATCATAATTATGGTGGCTCACCAGTGGAGCTGGCAGCAGATTCGGACAGTGAGGAGGTTGAAAAATAACCTGAGCCAGTCCTGGAGTCTGGGGAAGGCTCTGATGAGGGCTCTGTGTCGGAGGCAGAGAGGAGGCCAGGGCCATATGCCAGTTATCAGCTGCCTTCAGAATCAGACAGCAGTGATGCAGAGGAACAGCTGGAGCCTGTTCCCAGTGTGCGCATGCGCAGAGTTGCCAGACGAAAGGAACAGCTAAAGCACAGGGGTCAACTAGGGAGTAAGGCCACAGGTGGACGATGAACGGCCCCTCCCAGAGGAGCGAAAGGGGAGTGGAGTTTGCAGGAGACAAATTTGTTCACTTCATTGGTTCGTGACTCTCCGGGACTCCTTGCCAAGTTCTGCAGAAATGGGCCTGGCAGTTCTCCAAGCCAGATAAGGTCTGTGACTGTAAATCCTCCCT